GGCCTGCGCGCACTTCTCCGCCTCGACCGCGCGCCGGCTGCGGGCCATCTCCTCCGCCGTCCGCTCGCGGGCCAGCCGCTGCTGCTGGCACCGGCCCGCCACGCTCTCCACCTCCTCCTCCAGGTTGTCGCGCGCCACTTCGGCCGCGTGCTTCTCCCGCCAGCGCTGGTCGACGAGGGCCCGCAGTGCTGCGAGCTCGTCGTCGGCACGGGCGCGCCAGGGGGCGTCCCCGGACTGTGCCCGGAGACCCACGAGCTCCGCGCTGAGCAGCTCATAATGCTCCTCTAGCGCCTTGACCCGGGCCAAGTAGGCCTCCAGGCGCCGGTTGAGCTCCCACATCTGGAAGGATTCCTCCCCCAGGCAGCCCTCCATCCTGCTCGTCTGGCCCACCGAAGGTGGAGAGACGCGGGGTACTGGGAAAAGCCAGCGGCTCTCAAAGCTTTTAGGATGAAAGGGAAAAGGAGACTAGTGGGGACAATGACAGGGCGGGGCAAGGAGCAGCCGGAGCGACAGAGAGTCGGGAGTGGGAGCGAGGCTATTCATACTCCCGCCAGCCAGGCGGGAAGGGGCGGGACCGAGACTTTAACCCCTTGGAGGTCGGAGGAACAGCGGCAGCCTTTGTCCCCACCGCGCTGGGGGCCGGATGGAGGGCGAGGCGAGAGGGAAGCCAGGCCCGGAGAATCCGATGCCGTGGTGGCGGCTTTCTGAGGGGCGAGGCCGTGGGGAGGGGTGGTGACCCGGATGGGGACAGGTGGTGCACAGAGCCAGCCCGCAGAGGGGAGGCTAGGGGATTGGGCCTGGGAGAGGATGGGAGTCTGTTACTCAGCACCCCCAAGAAAGGTATCGTTTACTGAGGTCCTCTGAGATTGACTCAGTTTCCTCATCCATCAAATGGGAGCAAGTCGGGCATCTCATAGGACTGCTGTAAGGATGGAGCGGCCATGTCCTTTTTGTAAACAGCGAACGCTCACTGTCCTGAAATGTTGGGAGAAGGCGACATTGCAGGGAGAAGACAGAGAGACACTGCCCGGAGGCCGCGGGAGCCGATGGGGCATGCTGGGAGCCGCGGAGCGCGCGCGCAGTCTCCACCGGGAGACGGCGGTGTCAGGCGACAGACAGGGCGCTTTCCCCATCACTCACCCCCATCCTTCCCACGGCGCTTCCACAAAACCTGGGGGCCACCTACCCACCCTGGGGAGCCCAGGCCTCCTCGGGGGCTCAGCGGAGGGTGCCCCATCCTGTCCTAGGAGTCAGGGACTTTTGGGCAGAGGATGCCCCCTGGTGGCTGACAGGGCAGGCTGAGCCGAGGAAGCAGAAAGACGCCCTAGCCCAGAAGCGTTGAGCCTTGGCAGAAGCTCGCTCTACCTTTTTACTCACATCGTCTGCCTGAACCCTCAAAACGCCCTTTGATGGTTCTGCACTGCAGGAGGCAGAGAGCTCCTTGAGGTGGCAGTGGTGGGAAGGCCTCGGGGGTGGGGGGTCCCTGAGCTGCAGTGAGGGGCAGGTAGGGTTCGGGTACGTAAAGGGAAAGTAGGAGGAAGCCAGAGGTAAGAAGACTGACGGGTCTTGGGGAAGGAACTTCTGCTCACCTGAACCCAGTTTAGCCCTGCGAGAGTTTATCGAACACCTGCTGTGCCCCAGCACCCCCCCCCCAGCCCAGAAGGGGTCCCGTCTTAGTGATGTGAGGGCCGCAGCGATGGGCATCATGGGAGGGGAGACATAATAACATTATCGCACCACTTTGTCAGCTCCCCAGGTGTCTGCCCAGAGCTGGGGGAGGGCTTTCCGGGTGGGGCAACGGCGAGGTCAGGGACCAGGAGGCCATCCCCGCGCACGCCCCCAGCCCTGGGCCAGCTGGGCTTGGGAATTCGCTCCTGCTCTGTGGGCCCCGCCTCGTCCCCCATCCCCACGAGGGAAGCTGGGAGGTAGAAATGCTCCTCTCCATTTTCTCTCCTCCAGCTGGAGGGATAATGGGCTGGCCCGGATGCCTTCTCCTGGCCCTCGTGTCCACAGCAGGGCGCTTGAGGTTTTCACCTGAGTTGAAAGGTCCCCCGGTCACTGTGGAGAACTGGGGTGAGGTGGGGGAGGGAGGCAGGCAGGACGGCCAGGCAGGAGGCAGTTGTCACCATCAAGTCTCATGGCCGTGAGACCGGAACCTAGAGGGAGAGAGGAGGGAAGAGATTGTTTCGCATCAGCTGCAGGAAGAATTCGATGGAGGGATGGAGGGAGTGAGTGGCCAACACTCCCACGTGTGTGGTTGGCAGCCTGGCATGGGAAGACGTGGACAGGGCTCAGGGTCGCGGCTCCGACTGGAAAGGGCGGGTGGATAAGGGAGGACGGTGAGCATGGACGCGGTGGTTCCGGAGAGGGTACCTCCGCGTGATGCGATGCTCCCTTCTATCCCTGACCCTCTGGGTCCGTGGTTTTAAGGAGCCGCCTGCAAAGCAGCAGCCTCCCTGCGGCCTGACCCGCATCCGGTCTGCGCCGGCAGGCAGTAGGTGCTGCAGCGGGGCACGGCCACCAGGGGCCACTATTGGCTCAAGAAAAGCTACCTCCCGCGGGAAACTTAAAACCTAGAAAGAGTTAAAGCAGTGAGGCAGGTAACGTTGTCATCATTGTCGTCCGTGGCTTTCTACCTGAGGAAACTATTCAGAGAGGTTAAGTATCCCGTCCAAGGTCACACAGCTGGAACCTGCACTCAGTTCTGCCCCAGCCAGCACCGCCCTCTCTGGGGACGAGGGTGATGGCGGGGACGGGAGTTTGGGTCGGAGGGGACCCGGTGCGGCCGCGTCCCCGTGGCTGCGCACCGTCTAGGTGCAGTCGGGTTTGAACTGGTCCCGATCCGAAGTGCGCCCATCGGTACCGCTGCGGAGAGCGCGCGGTGCGTTGCGGTGCGGTGCGGTGCGGTGCCGCGCGGCGGCCGCCCCGGCCCGCGCGGATCCGCGTGCCGTTCGCAGGTACGTGCGCGTGGAGGGAAAATGTTTTTGGAGGGCAAAACGATGCTGGAAATAAATGCGAATACAGTGGTTCCGTCGGAGAGGAGGAAGGGGACGCAGGCGGACAGCGAGGCACGCGGTGTGTGACAACCCGGCGTCGATAGGGGGCGCGAAGCGTTCCGAAATCAGCGTACGGCGCGGGCCGTCTTGAGTGTCTGAGAGGCTCGTGAGTAAAAGGGCCCAGGCCTTTCCTTCGTGGACGCAGGCCTGCCGCGTGGACCGCGCAGGGCCCGGTGCCGGCCCCAAGCGGGTGGTCCCAAGACTCGTTCTACACAGAGCAGGTCGCCACCGGGGGGCGTGCGCGCCCTGTGCCTGGAGCGCGCGGCCGCTACCTGCTCTCCGGGGACTCATTTTAGGAGCTGTCCCGGTGGATCTTGGTGGCTTCTTCAGTCCTGGAGACTCCAACGACTTAGAAATGAACCGCAATCCGTCCTGACTGCGGGGTCCCTCTGCCTTCCGCCCCGGAGAGGGGCAGTTTCGGCCCTGAACTATTGCCAGATCCGCTCTTGGGGCCAAAGCAGGAGGCCTGGCAGTTAATCCCCCGGGAGAACTGGCCTGCGTCGTAGGGTCAGTGGGCTGGGGTGAGGGAGCAGGAGAGGCAGTGGGCTCTGGACCACCAGCCCCTTCCCCGGCCCAGGAGGAGGAGGAGGCAGACCACGCGGCAGGAGCCACCAGCGCCCCTGCGTGGTGCCAGGGCTGCTGCATCCCGCCCCAGCCCGCAGCATCCAGGGGGCCCTTTGCTGGATGTGATGTATGCAGAAGGCACTAGGCGGGGCCAGGACACCAGCGCGCGCCTCATCTGTGGGATTTGGGGGTCACGCTGTCTTCCTGCAAGGCGTCCAGGGTCGGGGGGCCCCACTAGGAGGAACCGTGAGAAGGGTGAGGGGCAGTCGGATCCGAGGAGGTGGGCTGATGGAGGGAGAAGGAGGCGTCTGCAGGGGTGTTGGTCTGCCCAGGGCGAGGGGGAAGGGGAGGTATATTTATCTCCTGAGCTGGCGGCATTAAAAATAACCAGGGCCCTGAGTAACCCAAGCTCCCAGCCTCTGCGTTGGGGTGGAGGCCATCGTGGGGACTGGAGGGGCACCAGAGGAGGGGACCAGATGGTCTCCCCCAGCTGCCCCCCACCTGGGGCCACTGCGCAGGGCGTGGGCTGGGGGACAGGGAGGGAGGAGGACCGCGGGCCAGGCGGAACAATGCTGGCTGGCGCCAGGCGCTGAGCCGGGGGACCGGGGAGAGAGGAGGGAGTGGACGGGGGTCGAGAGGAGAGAATGAACAGGAGGGCGAGAGGTGAACACAGTGCCCACCTGGCTGCTGCACCCACGCCCCTCCACGTCCTCAAGGGAGGAGCCAGCCTCCGGGTCCCCGGCCGGTCCCCACGGGGATCCGAAGCTACAGCAGGAGGCACCTGAGTCAGCTCTGGGGAGGGACTGCCCGGGAGTGGGAAGGGGCGGGCCGGAGGGTGCACCCTCCTTCTGCTCCCGTCCTGGCCCTCGGCTGGGCTGTGGCGCATGTTCTTGCCCTGAGACACTGCCACACACGGTGACCTCAGCTCTCTCCGATATGTTGCCACAGCTCCCCGGCCGGCTTCTGAGCCGGGCTGTGACGACGGGACAATTACAGGACAGTGTCACTGGAAGGCAGCCCCGAGCTGCCGCTGCGAGGGGCCAGCCTGCGGAGAGCCGTCTGGCAAGGGCACCCGGTCCCCACCCTGGCCTGGCCCCAAGGGGACACGACCTGCAGGCACACAGTGGGAGCTCAGGAGACGGTTCCTGGGCGGATGGAGGGAGAGGCGAGAGCACTCGCCACGGCTGCACGGGCCCCCTCGTCAGTGTCCCCGCACGGCGGCCGGCGCTCCATGGTGTCACGGCGGAATCGGCGCTGCCCGTCTGCTGGGCCAGCCTGGGTCCTGCCTCCGTAGGCATCGCCGAAAGCAGTGATGACACCTGCGTGCCTGGTGCAGCCGGTGGGGATGATGTGGCCGAGGGCGGGTCTCACACTCAGGTGGGGATGACGTGGCCGGGGGCGGGTCTCACACTCAGGCGCGTCCGTCCCCTGTGGGCCGAGGTGGCTTGGGGGCTGGGGCAGGCCTCTGAGCAATCCTGTCCGGCGCCCCATCCCCGGGCGGGGCCCAGGACCCCCTGTTCTTAGGCTCCCGCTGAAACCTTAGCCCCTAATCCCCCACCTGAGCCTGAAGGGCCGCACCTGTCAGGCCTTGTCATCTGCAGCCCTGGAGGAGGGAGGCCCAGCGAGGGGCTCGGCAGGCTCGTGGGCGACAGACTAGGAATGAGGTGACGCTCCTCTCCACACGGGGACCTGCGCCCCCTCACAGGGGAGGAGGAGGATGCGGAGGCGTCCAGCTGACATGACAGCCTCGGCCTCCGCCCGGCTGGCTGCTTCTACTGAGCCCAAGCAGCCTCCCAAGTTAGCAATGACCTCCCGGCCGCCTGAGCGACCCAAGTGGCCACACCTTCTCTGGTGCTGAGGCTCTCGCCAACCAAGGAGAGGCGTGACCCCTGAGGCCCTTCCTTCTGGGACTCTGCA